AAAAGTCACCATCACGGGGGAATGCGCAGTCGATGTGCGGCCCAGACTCGGTGTTGGCTGACATGAATTTAAATCACTGAATTGTGGCAGAGCAGAAGCGTCACCATCTCTGAAATTGGAGGCAAGCTACCCGTGCCGCCCGTTGCTGAGGACTGGCCTTGAACAAAAAATAGGAGTTGTCAAATGGAAAGTGATCTTGAACACTGTACCTGTCGTTCCGCTTCTTCGTGACTGCGATCCTACTCATCGACGGTGAGTAGATTGTATCTTCACAGTGAAAATCCATACCAGAAAGTGGGGCAAATCCGAGTTGCTGATTGCCTGCACTACGAGACTGAGAGGTTGTCGGCTGCAGGCGCTCAGGAGGTGTTGCATTGTTGGAATTACTTGAAGCAGAACGTGTTGCTGCCCGAGTTCTAAGTGGTGGAGCGATTGAGTCACTGGCATCCGGCGGTGTTTGGTTGCTGGTATCTCGTCGAGGTGCCATTTGAACTGGGGGGGTTGAATGGCATCACACTTGTATCTAGCATTTAAGTAGGACGTGGACAGACCAAAAACGAAATTCAAATCATGTACCAATGGTATGGGTTCCCTGGGAACAATCAAAGGTCGGCGAGAAGATATTGTAAATGTGACAGACCAATACAGTTGGATATGAAATGGCACTAAAAATAATCAGCATCATGAAAATGTGCAAGAACTTGTTGGAGAAGATGCAAGGTCGTATTATTATCGGCCAAAACCATGTAGCACCGTAGATCCCATGATTAGAACCATCTACCCGCATTTAAAAACCGAAACATACTGTTCATCCCTGATGTATTGTCAAGACATACGACCAAAAATTGCTAGAGCTCCTCTACCAGCAACCCATAATACAAGTCAAGTCGTGGCGTCACAGCAGTAGCATCGTAGCATGATAGACCTAAAACAAGACCAAAGGTTAATGTCACTATGAAAGATATGAAATGCCAGACAGAAAGATGGATTCAACGCAGAAGGGAACCGAAAATGCCGAGTAAAGAATGAACCAATGGTGTTCAAGTGATTTTTATGAAGTGAGATGTATTGGAAGGTGGAAATGAAGATTTATGTCCCTATGAAAGATATGAAATGCCAGACGGAAATATGGATTCAACGGCAGAAAGGACCCAAATGAACCAATGGTGTTCAAGCGATTTTTATGAAGTGAGATGTATTGGAAGGTGGAAATGAAGATTAATGTCCCCATGAAAGATATGAAATGCCAGACGGAAATATGGATTCAACGGCAGAAGGGACCCAAAAATGCCGAGTCAAGAATGAACCAATGGTGTTCGAGCGATTTTTATGAAGTGAGATGTATTGGAAGGTGGAAATGAAGATTAATGTCCCCATGAAAGATATGAAATGCCAGACGGAAAGATGGATTCAACGGCAGCTGGGACCCAAATGAACCAATGGTGTTCAAGCGATTTTTATGAAGTGAGATGTATCGAAAGGTGGAAATGAATGCAGAAACTCCGTATTAAAGATGTGCCAGGGATATTTGCGAATTGGCAGATGGAAAGTTGCATTGAGAGGTGGAAATGAACGGGGTAAACTCCAATTTGAAGATGTTCTCATGAACCGACAGATTGAACGGTGGAAGTGAACGTGAGAACCCAGGGTGAAAGATATTCCAAAGAAGCCCGAGTAAGACATGCCGAAGGAGCGAACACTGTGAATTGGCGGGCACGAGTACATCGGTGGGGGGCATGATTATTACTCGGATGAACTGCCTGAGCTGGTCTAGTTACTTTGTACCTGATACTTTTCATGCAACTCACTTGAATGTATTCGAATTTTGAATATTGAACCGCCTCCAGCCCATTCTGGAACACGGCAATCAATGCTCACATCAATTCCCGGAAATAGCCATGTAGCGCACTTCAACCTACGCAAATTGAGGTCTATTGAGGTCCTACTGAGTCAATTTGCAATTGTTCATTGTTCCTAGACATTTTTAATATTTATGTCCGACTCAAGTCGACTCAAGTCACTTGAAGTCGACTTGGACTGACCTGCGAGTCGAGTTAAGTCAGACATTCGACTCGACTCGACTCGACTCAAGTCGGCTCCCAAGTCGACTTCAAGTTCCTTCAAGTCGCAAGTCGCGGCAACATTACGTGTGAGCGAGAAGCACGACGTCCGAAAAGGAGGCGCTAGCGGAATCGCTCCAAATCGCGTAGAAGCTCTGGTCGATACCGGATGATCAATATGTAGATCAGGCGGAGGCATCAGAGGAGCCGGGTGTACCTCCGTGTCTCCCGCCCTCGCTATCTCTGCCTGCTGGACGCACAAAAAGGGCTGACCAGTAGCAGCCTGGCTTGGCTTAGCCATGCGCTCACGAAGCGCTGGGCCCAGATCTCTTGCTTGTCCGGCGGCGGGCCTGAGAGGGAGCAGAGCCGTCTGCGCGCAGCTTCGACCACAAGAAACGGAGTAACAACGGCGCGTGCACAGCAAGAGGATGGAGCTGCCACGATGAGGTCAGCCGTCTCTCAGAACCACGCAACGTAGCATTTCTCGCCCACCCTGCCCCTGACGAAGCTCCCGTCCACAAATGCGCAGTGCCCGTCTTCGCGGGTATTGTCCTCGCCCCACTACCGAGAGAGATCCCTCCGCCGCGAGGGACAGAGTCGAGCTCGAAGCCGGCGCCACTGACGAAGCCCCATAGCCTGTCCAGGTAGGTAAACTCCAACGCGTTATTTCAGACTCCAGTAGCCGCGGCAGGAGCGCACAGAAAGCGCGAGAAGAAACCTGTAAACGACTTCGTGGTCAGGCGAGCGATGGTCATCAAGACGAACAAAGAGTGTCGGGGAGGCGCGCAGGTGGTACGACGAGTATGGCGGTGGCGACACGGGGGGCGATCTTCAACAGTCAGCATCGGGTTCCTAGCCATCCCAGGTCGCAGACCCCGCGCGCGGGCTAAACGGGGCAAGGAATAAGCCACTGCGAGGCAGATGTGCATCGTATTGGTGGCGAAGGGCGTCCATGGGCATGGCACATGAGATCTGCAGACGGGGAGCATAGTGGGCGAGGACGTTCGGTAGGTGCTGGCGCGCGACGTGGGGCGCGGCGAATTCGTGAAGTAAGGGTGTCGAGGGGTGTCGAAGGGAGCAATGGTGGATGTCGTAGATGTGACACGGGCGCATAGGGTGGAGGTGTCGCGTCGCTTGGATTTGATCTATGGTGGCTGTGGCGACGAATCTACGACTCGGCGATTCTCCAGGCACAGTACGAAGCGCGGCGGGTGCGGGACACGATCACGGCGGGAGTGTCGAAGGAGGAGTGGGTGCCGGGTGCAACACTGGGAAGATTGGGGACGGCGAGTGAGCGTAGTGGGTGCGGGGGATAGAGGCGAATCAAGTTGGTGCACATCTCAGCTGGCGCGGGTGTGCGAGAAGCCGCAGAATGGTGTTGGGGGGAGTGCGATGGCTTGCGCAGTGGCGGAGGGCGGGCTGTGGTAATGATGCTTGGCGTGAAGAGTACGGCGACGTGCGGTGCGACATGGAATACGCGAAGGGGTGCTGTTTGGTTGTAAGGGTCATGGAATATTCCGGACATGCCCTTACATGTACTAGTTATATTTACGATACACTCCGAACTCTCTGCATTTTCACGACATTACTTATGATTCTCATCATATTTATCCAGATTTATCCTAGTTCATATTATTAGATTACTCATACTCCGATACTCTTGTACTTATATAGTTCTTGGTTCGTCGTAGTTCTCTTCGTCGAATCAATGCCAGTTTCGGGACTCTTCTCACTTGGGACTCCCTCTTTCTTTATTCTCTTCTCCTTTCCAGAGATTCCAGCTCCTTTCCCCTTTCGGAGTCCCTTGCCCGTTACATTGGTGACATCTCAAGGAGGACGCGGGGGAGCTCAGATCGTCCGTGCTATGTTCGTACACGAGTGAGAACGAAGCGGGATCCGATGGTGGGCAAGCTCTGTGGTGGTAAGAGGGCAGAAAGCAACATGGAACGAAGATCAAGGAGGAGGACTTCGAAAAGCTGGCCATCTCAAAACAAGTGGGGAATCGGAAAAGACCGGATGATTTGATGAGATCACAATCGGTCATCTTCAACGCTTCATTCTTCCACTCGTCTATGTACGACTTCTAGCATCGAACCTAGGCAAAGCCTGGCTCCGCAATATTTATGGCAACATCCGTGTCCAAGAAAAACGGCGCTGCGATCTGTGATCCTGTCATTCGCCTCTTCTTCTCTTGTTTTTTATCATGCGACTGAGGAAGAAGGTTGGAAGAAAGGCCCTTGCACGATACACATTCGTCTGAGAATCCCTCCCCGCGCTACAGCCCCGACAGCCGCCACAAAACGCCTGGCAGGACGTCTGCCTCTTGTCTGCCTCTCAAGTACGAATATATTCTTTCTTGATCCCATCTCATGATGTCAGTTTTACCCGCCGATCGCAATGTTGCGCTCTTCCTCGTACCACCCCACTGTTTCCTCGAAAGCCCGAAAACCATGCAAGGATCCTCCTCAAGCTTGCGCTGAAAACAGTGCGCATCCGCATTGGAAATCAAATTTCCCGTCCTCCAATCTCTTCCTCTTCCTGAACAAGGGATTCCACACCAGACCACCGGTCACGCCTTTCCTTCCTTTAAACCGCGCGTCAACGCTCAAAGACTGCCGTGCCGGCACCCATCTGTCTATCTTTGTCAGTGGATACACCTCACTACATGCGTGCATACATACTTACTCCCGCTGCTTGATCCGCACTGCGTGCAATTTATCCCAAGTATCAATCCCCGCCCTTCCATATAGATAAATAGCTGCTCCCCACCCAATGAATAAAATAGCACTCTCCCACCACTCTCCTATATTCATCCATCCGTCTAGCATCTCTCTCTTGGCCGCGTATGTACCCTCCTCCCAATCAAACGAGCCCAAAGTGAACACGATATTATAAATAAAAATGTACCAGAAAAAGCGAGAGCGAACTTTTGATGAACTATGACCCGTCCCAGAATTGAACTGGGGCCTCCCACATAGGAGTTAACTTAGCACGCAATTATTGTGGGTGCCCTGCCGACTACGCCAACAGGTCTTTCCCTTATATTAATTTACCTGAATACACACGGTAGTTGTCCTGGAAAGTAGCAGATGAACGAGCCGTACAAAAATGGTTGCGCGGCATATCAAATGACCTGTCCCAGAGTTGAACTGGGTAATGCAAGCCATCAAAGAAACAGTCAGTTAATGTGGGTGCGCTGCCGAGTGCGCCAACGGGTTTTTCTGTGATGTAAATTGAACTACGATATGGGGCGGAGTAAAATGAAACAACAGCGACACGAACAATCATGACCTGTCCCAGAGTCGAACTGGGGCCTCCCACGTAAATACTCTGGATGTTCCTAATACCAATTGCTGTGGGTGCGCTGCCGAGTGCGCCAACAAGTCTTCATGGTATCCTAATTGTACCGTATTAAAATAAATAGTGGAAGTGGAGGCTTTGAAATTAAAATTAAATGAACGAGCCGGACAAAAAATGTCTCAATGAGAAGACTCCATGACCTGTCCAAGATTCGAACTGGGGTCTCCCACCGACTGCTAGATTTTGCAACAAGCGGACGTGGGTGCGCTGCCGGGTGCGCCTACAGGTATTAAATTGAACCAGACACTGCGTTGCGGCACCTCGTAGTCACATGTGAGACTATGTTGGGCTACATGATTCTACGTTGGTCGAACCCCATAGACCAGGGTGTTGTATGTGGGGTACACCCGTTATGGGTCTACGTTCGGCTACGTGGTCCGAGCCGGCGTAGTCACAGGGTTGTCACACATCGGCTACATTCTACTCGGGCCGACATTGGTCTATGTGACGTAGGCACATGTAGACACACCTTGCTTTTCGCCTTCATTCACAAGTCAGTTGAATTTCAACTTCTAACACTTTCCCAAGACATGCCTTCTACACATTACTTGGCTTGTGGGCCATTGCTTTGCATGGCAGTACGAGTCCCAGTTTATTTTTTGGAGTCCTTGAGTCCGTTCCCCCTGAATATACTTTAATACTTAGATGTCAAACACAGTTCTCCCATCACTTTACCTTGAAGCGGGCAAGCCCATGCCATAAATTTAAATAATGTGTCTCGATGTCATTGATATTTGTACGGAGTTATGCTCTAAGACAAAGTCCACTCAGCATAGGACATTCCGAGCATGGCTTAGACCTGACTCAATAATGAGTATGCATAGACTGACACAACCTCCATGTACCGAGGTTACTTCCAGATGTGATATTACAAACAGATTACATATCTAATTTGAACATCTGGAACATCCCATCATAACTCCCCACTCACAAGTTCGAACCACCTTACCTCCCGGGGGAGTGACACTGAATTCAACGAGGACGTAGCTAGACTACATACATTAAAGTCAACAACAACAATATGGGCCACAAAGTGGTCAGAAGTGGAATGGAGCAAGTGCTTTGAGGTGGGCCAAAGCGATGGGAGATCAGCTTGCACAGAGAAACATAAATCATACTTTAGGAGAGCCTCCAATTGTCTTCATATCCAACGAGGGTAATCGAGTTGAAAACTGGATGTGCGGTCCAGGTTGGTGATCCACCGGTTAGAGAAGTCGGGGGAAAAGCAACTAGAAAATTAACTGGTGCAGTAGCCAGAGCTTGACCAGTATGAGCAATAGAACATCACAGACAACAGCTTATTGCCAGTCGTATGTGGGGTTATGATATATCACGGCCGTGGTAGTTAGATCGATGGTGTGATATATCACGGGCACTAATTACAAGACTGGCGTGATATATCACTACCAAGGCCATCCATAAGAGGTGATTTCTCTTGACAGCGCATAGACGGCACACTCCCGCCCATCGTCATCAACCCATCAATGCATCACCGCCAAAACCCCACGCCCTCGCGCCGTCCCGATTAGGCTGCGTTCAGTTTTCGCCCGTTACACACATTTGAGGTACCCAATGCGTGGCCCTTCATCCTGTCATATGGTTACCCTGTTAAACCCTCTCATCCGCTGCTTAGCGGCCACGCACTCTTGCTTCTCCTTCGGCGTCGCCTTTGTTTGTTCGTGTTTCCTCCGTGCTCTTTCTGCTCCATTGCTGCGCTTCCTAGCCTCTTGCGCACCCACATAACCTGCCGTTATACGAAGAAGTATCCCTACTTCATTCCTATATGCTTATATTGGTGCGCACGCGCTGTATCTTCACTTAGACACCATCCCCCCGTGCTTTCGTTCGCTCGCTGCTACTGCCCTCCGCCTCCCAGTTAATCACGCATTGGATGCGGGTCATCCCATACAACCCTCCCATCTTTTAACACAATTAGGAGTGAGAAGCAGGGCCTCACTTACCCGCCACGCACTTTTTTCCCGCATTTACCGATAATCCTCCCCTGCGCCCACCATTCGTCCCACGAACGCCGCCTCCAGTCAACTGGACATATACGGTTCTATACTAACCGTTTCCTCTTTTGTTTTTCCCCCACCTGGTTTACGCTGCGGCACTGGCGATATGGGTGGGGGGGGGGCGGGAAATCACGCGCGGCGACCCGGCAGCCCGCAAAATATTGGCACGCGGCGTCCGGGGTGGGCTAGGCGGCCATCCACCCCTTCCTACCTGCTCATATATGCGTTGCGCCTCATGTACGCTGCGGCGCTGGCGATATGGGCGGGGGGCGGGAAATCACGCACGCCGGTCCAGCAGCCCGCAAATATTGGTGCGCTGCATCCGGGAAGGGATAGGTGGCCATCCACCCCTTCCTACCTGCTCATATTTGTGTTGCGCCTCGTGTACGCCACGGCACTGGCGATATGGGCGGGGGGCGGGAAATCATGCACGCCGGCCCAGCAGCCCGCAAATATTGGCGTGCTGCATCCGGGAAGGGCTAGGCGGCCATCCACCCCTTCCTACCTGCTAATATTTGTTCTACGCCTCGTGTACGCTGCGGCGCTGGTGATATGGGCGGGGGGGTGGGAAATCGCGCACGCCGGCCCAGCAGCCCGCAAATATTGGCGTGTAGCGTCCGGGATGGGCTAGGCGGCCATCTACCCCTTCCTACCTGCTCATATTTGTTCTGCGCCTCATGTACACTGCGGCGCTGGTGATATGGGCAGGGGGGCGGGAAATCGCGCACGCTGGCCCAGCAGCCCGCAAATATTGGCGCGCGGTGTCCGGGATGGGCTAGGCGGCCATCCACCCCTTCCTACCTGCTCAAATTTGTTCTGCGCCTCGTGTACACTGCGGCGCTGGCGATGGGGCAGGAAATCGCGCCGGCTGCCCCCGATGGGCAGACACGAACCGCTCCTTGCGTTATATACATTTTCCATACTTGTTCTTGGATTTCGCACAATTTTTAACAGACTGTTGGGCTTCCACACAATTACAGGTATTCCCCCCAAAAAAAAGGAAAAAAAGAAAGCCCGGAAAGAAGAGTTGAACTTGTGACCTTACGCAACATCGACAGAGCACCAACACCAAAGTCATAACCACTACACCAGAACAGCATGCTCTACTGTTCTTCAACTCGTAACATCCCTCACACCCTTCCGAATCCAAATAAAAACCCCGCTATATAAAAAAACACCCCCAATATATTTTGCGACGTATATGTATTTTGCTATAATATGGCCCACACTACCTCAGATCATTCCTAAGTCCTGACTTTTGCTCTGCCGTCAAGTTCGTCAGCTCCATATACCGCCGTCTCGTGCAAAACTCACCTTTTTGATCCCTTCCCACCCTCCTCCGCTTCCGGCACGCGCTTTCGCTTCACCTCCCGATACTCTACCCGCTCGCCCTCCGCATTTGCGGGCGGTCTGACCGTGCGCCTGAGTCAACCACCGCCCTCTTCACCCGCTCCCTCCTCTCCCGTTGCTGTCACCCCGGTCTGCCGCTCCACCGCCTCTATCCCCGCCTCCTCCTTCTCTCCCCGCTTCTTCGCCATACTCACCTTTCTCCTCTCCGCTGCAGTCAGCACCACCTCCTGCCCATCCCGCTCCTCTCTCGCCTCTCCCCCTGATCCTGACCCTGACACCGATGGCTCCGCGCTCTTCTCCTTCCCCTCGCTTCGTCCTCCCCCCTCCTCCGCCCCCACCTGTGTCGCCTTCTTCTTTCCACCCCTCGCCGCCTTTTTCCCGCCCACAGCCTTACCCGCCTTCTTTTTGACCGGTTTCACCGCCTTCGGGAGATTGCAAAGCAGCCGCGACTGAGGGGGACCCCTACCGCCTGCGCTGCCCTCTTCCGCCCCGTCCCTCAACGTCAGCCTCCACGCTTCATCAAATGCCGCCGCATCCTCAGCCCGCGCTGCCTTGCGAAGCGCATCCTCCAACCCGACATGTGGCGCAGGCAGCCTCAGCACCGGCGCAGGCGCAAGCACTTGTCCTCGCCCTCCATCAGGCATTGTCCCCACATCCTCCAGCAGCTTCGCCTGCCCCACCAACTGCTTTCCTACCTCCACACGTCCCTCCCCCTCGTCTCCCCGGCCTGGTGACCTCCCCAAAGCCCAAAGCTGCTAATGCGACTGCCGCCGCCCAACTCGTCCTGTGCCTCGCATCGAAGCTCGGCACCCCCCCCCGGCGTAGCCCATGAGGTCGCAGCCCATGCGCTGCGCCCACTGTCATGGAAGGTGGGTATTGCTCCGGCCTCCACACCCTTTGCCTCTGCTTCCGCCAGCAGCCTTTGCACTCCCAGAGTTGGCAAGTCAAGGCCATTGGCGACAGCGAATGGCTGTGCCGACGGAGTGGAACCCGGCGCCGACTCCGCACCGCCTAAATTACCAAACTCCTCCTCAAAGCCACCCAGACTTCGCTCCGACAACGCCGAACTGTTCGAGAACGCCGCGGAGAGCCCAAGGAGGCCAGACAAAGCCTCGGATGCCGTCCCATTGGGCAAATCGTAAGAGAAGTCAAAAGACGAGAGCCTGCCGTCGCCCCCAAATGACTCATCATCAAAGCTGTACGGCGCCGCCTGGAAGTCGAAGTAGGGTGAGCCCGTTAACCTCCCCCCCGCTTGGCTGATGTCGCCTGTAGGCAATCCCAATGTCATCGTCGCTGAGTGCGACGACGATGATGGCGGCTGGGATTGCGCCTGCAGCTGCGCCGCGCTGTATGCTGGCTGCATCGACACCTCCAGGGTTCGATTCCCGACGTCCTCAGCAAGGAGGCGGTCGCCGAACAGATCTTCCTCCTCGCCTTCAAGTGGTCACGCGACGCGCTTCCCCCTCTTCCCACTCGCCACCCGCCGGAACCTTGGGACGGGGTCGCCGCTGGGGGGGCTTCTATGAGGATTTCTTGCCTTTCTTCTTTGTTGGCGCCGTCGAGTTGTCAGAATCACCAGCCTCAGAGTCGGAGTCAGAGGTACCCCCAGTGTCAGAGTCCGAGCCAGACCCAGAGTTGCCTCCTGTATCGATATCGCCAAG